TGAGTCCCCATCCCTGGAGGTATTTAAAAGATGTGTAGATGAGGCGCTTAGGGACATGGTTTAGTGGGCATGGTGGGGTTGGGTTGATGGTTGGACTCTATGATCTTAGAGGTCTTTTCCAACCTTATTGATTCTATGATTCTATGTGCCAGAGAAACTTGTGTTTCGAAATATTTACTGTCAACTTGTTATTTAGCATAATGGCAGGGTAATAACAAACATCCAGAAATTAGACTTAAAAATCTAGAAAATATCCACTCTAAGAAACTTGCAGGGACATTTCTATAGAGCACACAGTCAACTCTAAGCAGCCGCACCCAGTGCAGGGTATGCTATGTGCCCTAGCAGTTAATGCTACTCTGCAGCAGTATGATGCAACTGCAGGTGTTGTGGAAGCTGGGACCTGGTTACATCGTCAACTGTATCTTCACAATACTCCTGTGAGTCAGGGAATTGCTGCTGACTCAATTTTATAAGTAAGGGAATTGGGTAAGAGTAGGCGCTCCGTGACTTACCTCCATCAGGTGGAAACCCATGGCAGAGGAGACACTGGACATGAGTCCTTCAAGTGCTTCAATAGGATCTATGCATTTGGCCCCCCCCTTCCTACTGTGAGATGACCTCCCCCACCTTTTGAAACTTGCCACATCACCACTACTCCACTCTGCTTTTTCTCCAGATGAAAAAAGACAGCTGAACAAAATGACAATCAGATGTTTTCATGTTAATAAAATAGTCTGAACATTGGGAAGAGCAACAGGGAGGAGACAACTCCCAGCTGGTATTGGCAAGGACTGGTACTATGATGCTTGAGTTAGATTTGCTAAGACTCTTATGCATCTAAATATAAACAAGCTCCTGACCGCTATTAAAGGCTGGCTCCAAGATATGACAAAACATACAAAAAGTCAGAAGGGATTTCTAAGGTTCAGAAAAGGAAGAAGTGACTTCCCATTTGCAGGCACTGTTAAATCCATTTATATCTGGCCAAAGGAACTGCATATATATATATATATATATGTGAGAGGAAGATGGTGGAGTCCAGTGGCAAAGCAATAACCAAAATTAAGATTTGCTAGATGACCCCAAAACGAATCAGTTACTCTGTCTGTTTTTCTACTTCTGAAGTGGAGATAAACAGTAGCTTCCCTAAGTTTGCTAAGTAGTCTGAGCTGCAGATACACATTATATTAGGATAAGAGCACAGTTGTTTCAAGAACAGACAATGATCAAATAAGGCAACCTTTAAGTTCTAGCAGTAACTAAGATTAGAAGGCTGATAAGTGCAAGAAGAAAGAAAGAAACTTTTCTTACCTCCATAATTATAAAAGGCATCTCGCTCTTTCATTTGAACCACTATCCCGACAACATCCACCTGTCTTACTGGATGTCCGTTATAAAAGAATATACCTAGACACAGAACATTCTTGATAAGCGTAACTATTTCTTTCAACATCCTAGCCTATATAGTCACATTTGTCAGTAAAAAACCATACTTTCTTACATATTTAATGTATCTTAAATTATACAATGCCTAGTCATGTGAAAAATCCCCTGGATCAGTGAGGACTGGGAACGCTAGAAGGAAGAAGTATCAGCCTTACTTAGGATACTAAAAGCTTGCTTTTGTAGTCAGAACTTTATTAACTTCTTGTTTTCTTGCACATTTGGATCTGAAAAACAGTTTGTTTGCTGCAGGCATTAGGGTTTTTGTAGTTGTTTTTTTGTTTTGTTGTTTCATTTTGGTTTGGTTTAGGTTTTTTGTTTGTTTGGTTTTTTAACATCTTCATCAGGCTTCAGAATGAATAAGAGAACACAATGGTAGCAGTTTGAGCTTCTCACAATGCAGCTGTTCCTGATTAAGGCAGAGCCTCCAAAAGGAAAACTAACATAATTCTGTCTTTCATTTCAAAAAGAACAGGAGCCATGAGGGCGGGGTGAGAGAAACAACCCTCTTAGATTGCAGAGTATGCTAGGCAGTCATCGTGGACAGCATCCTGAACTTCAGTTTCTGAAATAACACGTTCTAAAAACATCTCTTCAATGCTATTTTTGTGCATCTATAAAGATGACTTGAATAATAACAACACATAAAAACATGTCCAGGAAACTGTGAGGAATCGGAGCCCAGGGGACTTTGACAGCACTGAGGTTGCCACATGCTGTAAACCCTTTTAAGGGAGTGACAAATGTTGTTAACAAACACCGATGTAAACATTATACACTGAAGCTTCACAGTCCACTAGCAGGAGGATAATAGGGCAATAAGTTCCAGATATATCCCAGGCCAGCTAATTTTCAGTCAATGTGTTTTTTCAGTTTTCGAATACTGCTGCTTTACTGAAATATGCCATCTGGGATGATCAATAACTGTCTTCTAAAAACTAGGTAACTCAAGGGACTCAGAAGGGAACATTTGGCTCCGTACACTGTGGCAAGTCTTATTCTTACAAAAGGAAAGAAAAACACTGTAGCAAGGGAGTCAGAAAATGTTCTGTATAAAAAAAACCCAAAATCCAAAAATAACTTGTCCTACATAGCTGGCAGCCTTAAATGAGCCTGGAATTAGCTTTCTTCATGTAAGAAAGACAAAAACCACAAAGTTTCAGAAGAAATCGCAGGTGATCAGCCAAGCAGCTCATAAAGAGAAGTTTTGCTCATGAAAATCCACTGCAATGTTTTAAGGATGCATCTATCGCTGTCATCTTAGAGCTGGCTATACTAATTGTGCAGTCACTGGTCAGGTCTGGCATAGAGAATGTTTAGCAGGTCTGTCCACTTTTCTCTCATTCCATTTACCAGGACACCAATAAACACTGCTACAGAAACCTTCAATGGAGATGCTCCTGGTGTATACAATTATTCACCAAACCTTACAAAATCTCTATAAAAGAAGGTCTGGGTCAGTTTCAGGGTAAGTCTGTGGAGCAGAGACTCCAAGCTCTTGACTGTGTGAACAAGCAACATGTTATTATGTTCATTTGCCAGTTAGTAAACTGAGTTTTGGCAAATGACAGACACCAGATAAAACTGGTTCTCTCTACCCCTATAAACTCACGTAGAACTCCACCCTTACTCTCTGAGAAACTACCTGAATTCATTTGAAAGATGAAGTTATATTTACACTATTAAAAGTTGTTGAACTTGATGACTTCAAGGTGTAAATTGTTTCTCCTGACAGCTTATTTGTTCAAATTATGTTCATATTGGTAGCAATAAAAAATACACTAAGCACTTGAAGCTATGTGCAAGCACATTCAGTCAAGCTCCTAGTAACCCAGTAAATAACACACACATTAATATGATGTTACCGCAACAGGAAGCCACAGCAGCGGTATAGGGGGCTATAGATACAGAGCTCTGTAGGGCAAGTTCTGGTCACGTCTTTACCAGCATTACTGCGTACTGAGCTGTTTGCCATTGCTTTAATTATTATTACCTCCTTTTATTCTATTTGTAGCTTCCCTCACTTGTTGATAAGCTGTCACAATGCAGTGGTGCATGATAACTCTGAGAAAAGCTCATTTCCATGATGTGATTATGTGTTACAGCCGAGTTTGACACCTACTCTCGTTGTAAGGCCTCTAAGACAACACAATTGCTGTTTTTATCTGGGAGGTTTTCCAGCCTTCTTGTCACCATTTATAGCAAGAGAGTAATTGGCCAGGTTTACTGCTTTCCTCTGCGTTGTTTTAAGGAATTAGTCATTGTAGCATCAAATCCTAATGCTTAAAAATGGAAAGAAAAAAACTTATTAGGTCATTCAGTCCATTTCCTCAGGGCCAATGCAAGACCGTTCCGTACAGTAAATTCCTGGCAATCTGTATAGTCAGGATACAAACAATCCCAGGGAAGGGCATCCCACCTTTTTCCTGGAAAGGCTGCTCCACGGTTTAGCAGATGTCATTCTAAGGATGTTTTTCCTGACATTCAGTCTGTGTTTCTTTCCATTCCTCCTAGTTACAACTCTTTGTTTTGCACTCATTCATTCTTAATTACCATTACTTAATGACTGATTTATAGCCAATCATATACTTAGCTTCAGCTGGTCTTTAACAAACCCATTACAGGCAGGAAACATTGACAGCAAACACCTACCTTCTTCCTTCCCCAAAAGATTTTTTTTTAGTGTTTCTGTTGTGCTATCATTTATTGCCAATAAATAAGATACGCTGCAAGATGTCTCGTTTGATATATACACAGCACCAGGACAATGAACAAAATTCAGGATGTTTGTTCTATGAAATTTCATTTTATTCTTTGAAGTTTGGTTTAGAAAATGATACAGGATTGCAAGAAAGCTTAGTTGTGCAAAATGCCAGATGCACAGGAAGTGGAGAAAGCTCACATGCACCAATTTTAAAGGCTGATATCTTGACATGACAGATACCACTTCCTTAGCATCATCTTAGGAAAAAAAAAAGTAATAACAAAACAGAGAGTTCCTGAAGCACAAGACAATTCACTTAAGTAAAAGAACAGAAAGAGAAGTGAGAAGGGAAATTCAGGTAATTTAGAGGGGGGGGGAGGGGAAGAGAGCAGGATTGTACTTTCTAGGACTGTTCCCGCTTTTGTGAAATGTTTGTTGATGTTTAAGTTTAATTCTTCTGAATATGTTTTTGCATGTGTATGTACTAACATCCAAGTCCAAACTACAATCCTATTCTGCTGACATTGAATTGGTTTGTATTTTGTTTGAAAACAATTAAAATGTCTGTAATTGAAGCAGGAACAGTTTTTACCAGATGTATTTGCTACACCAGTACTACTATAAGACTACACACTTTAAAAAGGCCTCTAAGTACTACCCACTCTAGTACAAACACCAACAACAGACTGTAGCCTAATGCTTGCAATGGATTTAAGACAAAAAAGTCTCCCATCATGTTAAGTAACAAAGAGGTTACTGGGCTTTGCAGTTTGTGAAGTCCCTACGTACATAAAAATGGTTGCGAGAAGAGCAAAAGAACCACCAGTCCTTCATTTCTGCAAGAATAGCACTGCTGTTATCAAAAAATAAGTAAGAATAACAAAACCTACAAGGCAGAGCATATTCAAAGAGCTAAACAGATGTACCTTGTCCTTGTGGAGGGGGGGAGGGGGGGAAAGGAAAAAACCAATCAAAACACCAAAACCAAACCAAAACCACACACCCTGCTTAGGGTTTACTGCTTTTCCTCATTAGTTTTAAGTTCCTTGGGTTCCTCCCTGATAATCTTGCAACCTCGTCAAGCTTCAGTTTGGAATAATGAACACTTCTACAGTGGAAAACATAGTGCAGTCTATTTGAAGTCTTTGTAGTGAAAAGAGAAATTCAAGGTCAGACCCATGTTGCTTTAGACAATGTACACGTGTGGGTGATATTGGCTGAAGACCAGCAGGAAAGAGACTGCAAAGCATACAATTTCCAACAATGGTTAGGAAATAAAAGGTGTGGTGTAAGCTTCAGCACAGATGCCAGAATTTACAATAAGGTTGTTCAAATGTATGAAGCATGTCATATATCTATCATATCTAGAAATTAAGCAGATAAAACCTCAAAACCTGTATCTGTTTTATAATATATTAATATCCAGAGGAAAAAGCAAAACACATACACCCAGCAATGTCATCAACTGCCAAAATTTTGCAAAGAGAAGAGGCATAAAATCCTTCTCAAATGTTGTAGAGACAGTGGAAAGATATAACACATATGGCCAGAAAGGACCAGCATTTTTAGAATTAACTTTATCAGAATATAACAAGCACTACCACACAGAGGAAACACAACATTACCTTGATGTAAAAGAGGTTCTGTATCTATATATATATCTATACATGAGAGTAAGAAAAACCATTAGAACAAACACATTTTATTTTTCACATATATTTCACATACAGTCTGTTCTTAGAACTGTTAAAGATACTAATGTCACTTAGCTTAGGGGCACGCAAAATTACTTTACTGGTGTTTGTGAAGCATTCTGCAATCCCTGGATAAAGAGCACAATATAAATCAATTATAATTCTGTGTGCATCATAATCAGTGCATATAAGTACATACCTGGCACTTGTTTAGATTCTCTCATTTCTTTTATATCTTTAATATAGAGTCTTGCAAATGCAGAAAATACAGGATCCATCCCCCAGTGCAGAGAAGGTGTCTCTTCTTCATACTTCTTGGACTCAGACTGCATTTAAAACCTGTGAACACAGAAGAACTTACAATTATTTTCTACACAGGTAAAGCGCTGTTCACTTATGTTCCAACTGAATTAAAAAAATCGCTTGTGATTTTACACATAGTAACACAGCAGAGCTGATGAAGAGACACAGTAACTTATCTAATACAATGTTACCTTTGTGTCACCAACTGAAATATTCAAAATATCAATATTGATGATTTACTTAAAGTACTGAGACTCGACAGCAACAGCATTTTACCCAGCTCCTTCAAATGAAACAGAATTTCAGGGATTTCTCCTCTATGGACTGATAAACAGAGAACCAAATACAACACTTCTTTAAAAGAGCAGGATTGTGAGATACTAATGGGTTACTTTCGGTGCACTTGATTTCCTGCCCCCCCGCCCCCCCATCATTCTCTTTCCCTTCCGTAAGAGATCCTCCTCATTGTTCATCCCGTGCTTTATTGCAGTGGCAGGGGGAAGGCTTATTTAGAGATCCTCTCATTGTTCATCCCGTGCTTTATTGCAGTGGCAGGGGGAAGGCTTATTTTATATAAAACAAAACCAACTGGCCCTTCTTTATTTTGGACATACAGTCCCCAATAACTTTGTAATTGTTACTTTCCTCTTTTACCTCTTCAGATTTCCCTGTTTAATGCCTGCTATCTTCTGCCATTATCAGAGGCAATTCTCTGCTTATCACAGAGTTGATGTCGAAAAAACCAGCACTCAAGTCAGGAAAGATCCTTGTAGAGATTTCAAAGCTGAATATACTTTTTATTAGCTTCTCCTGTATGGATAGCTAAATTGTTCCCATAAAGCATTCAGGTCACCCTCGAATGGGTGTCAGCCACTTACAGCTGTAGGGCAAAGGTGGTAAGAGGACTGATTTTGAATAGCGTGTAATAAAGGCTAAGACTTGGCAGCTACAGTCTCCTGAGAGGGAGCAGCTCCCTGCTACGGGTTGCCAGTGATCCCTGTAACCTGCAGGAGACACTTCTAGCTACTGATGTAGAGGCAACATGCCATGAATATCACGATAGCATCTTGCTTCTTTGAGAAACACAGAGCTTGGATTCTGCATGATTTCTGTTTTCACGCTTAAACTTTAATTTGGGGCAGAAAAACAGAGTGTAGCACAACATGGTAGAGCATTGCAGACATCTACTCTACACTGCGAAAAGAACTGCAGATGACAATTATATTAATTTCCAACTTTTTAAAATTTTTTTATTTTTTTAAAAACAAAAAGGTTAATGATGCTTTGACCTTCCTTAGACTGGTCATTCATTTTGTGAGATGTTGATAGTATTTGATTTAGTCAGTTCCACCAGTCACTTCACCTTCGAGTAACAAACTAAATAGTTTTGTTTACATCTGGATTTATGTCTCTCTCCCCACTACAGGCAGCTTTTCCCAACCCATTCCTTTTGCACATGCAATGTCTACTCAAAAACATCTCACCATCCTTTTCTCACTGAAGCCTCCCCATGAAGCACACTTTCTGCTGCTGAATTGCAGACACTGCTCAGTAGAAATTTATAAACTAAGCTGTTGTTGACTGTATGATCTTAATAATGCAAAGCTGCTATTCCTCCATATGGCAGTTCTCTGGTTGCATGCTATAGTCTATGTCAAATTTAGACCATAAACTTTCCCAACACACACATGGTTTGAACCTGTATTTTACTTAGCATGCTCATTTTCATAATAAAATTAGTCTTCCCCATCCCTCTCTTTTTGCTTGCAGTCTCTAGTACAAAGTTGCGTGCATTGTCCTTACGCTAGTGTGCTTTTATAGCTTCTTTAAAAAAAAAAGTAGGGGAAAAAAATAAATTTAGCCCAACAAATGTTCATGGCAAATGAGAACAGTTCACACATCAACCAATAAACGTACACACTACAGTCAGTCAAGGTTAACACATAATGAGTTGGAATAAAGATAAGCACTACTGGTCAGTGTCATCCTGTCTCCCACCCACAAACACGAACTTTTAAGATATAATTTTGTCCTTAATGAGGCTACAGTCCCCCAACTATTCACTTTTAATGGCACTTCTCCCTTGACAAGAAACATGGATACAATCACAGTCTTGTTCTCCAAGATCATCTTTTATACAAAGTAATATTCCTTTCTGCACCAGGCCCCCCAACTTATTCTGCATGGTTACAAAGCCTGTCATAGCTCAGCACCTATTTTTTCTCCTAGACAGATGGCAGACTGAGCTAACAAGCAAAAAAAAAAAAAAAAAAGAGAAA